TTTCGATGGTCTCTTAAAAGTCTATTTCTTAACTAGAGCCGCACCTTTTCATAAAAGGAGATGATAAAAGGGAAATTGAAATTAAAAAAATATTTATTTGAGTATTTGAAAGGAATTGGATACTAGGGTATGCGAAGATTTTAGAAGTAAAAAGTGGTATGCACATGCAGATGTTTAAAGACATGGACAAACATAAAAATTGTTTTATTGTTGATATTGTTTCTTTTCCTTTAATGAACATAGCCGTTATAACTGGGGTAAGTTATAAGTGGGGCCTTTTGGGCTTTGAATGACAAACTGTTTACACAGTTTGAAGGGACTTTAGGCCTATTTCTTGTCTGGATATTGTCTGTGGTTACATTTATAACCCCTTAAAGTAGATGTTATATGTACCGTATACAGTCTTTGGTTAAATCTGCACAAAGTAGGTGAATATATGTGTATCATATAAAGCAGTAGAAACTTGGATGTGTTGGCTGTGTTTCTCTTTGTCTTGGCATTGTTTAACAGATTTGATGAAGTTTTGCAACAAATCTGTAGCTTTTGGGGATGTGCCAAAAGACTAAAAAAACACTTTTACTTGCATTGGTTTTGAAAAATGCCATGTAGAATGACCCTTTTAACGTCAGGTCTAGCTTTCATACCAGGCAAAATGAAAGAATAATTGAAGATAAGCTTGAGTGTCTTAAAGCTCATCTTTTTTCCCCAAATGTGACTTGGTCTAATAAAATATGCTATCACTGCCTACAGAACAAACCTATTGTAATTTATGCCATTTAGCATAGCTTTGGGGAGCTTGGATCGTAGACAAATGTGATACTGTACTTTGGTGAAATCAAATGCATTTGATAAAGGAACTAAGGTAGATATACTAGTTTGGAATATTTTTTTTTCTTTCAAAGTTTACCCCTATACAGTGTTTGCACCCCACATCCTCACTTTTGTATAGTGCCAATCTGTAGTGCAGCCTTTCTCCATTAATTAGAAAAAAGTGTATTATAAGAATTGAAAAGTACTGGAAATTTGAGACTGCTGTGGTGTAGTGTGGCAGTTCTCAGGAAAAGGTTATCTTCAGTAATGGTTGGCCTATGTAATGAGACTTAAATACATTCACAGAGAAAGAAATTAGTTTAATGAAAACTCAAACCTCAAGAAACTTCAGAGTTAACTTATTATCAACAGTACTGCATCCTGAACACCAAGGCTGATGGAGCTTGGTCCTCAATAAAGACATACCCCTAATTCTTAATTGCATTAATACATCTAATGGGAAAAGAAGAATGAGAAAATCTCTAATTCTTAAAAAAACCCCAACCAAATAAAAAAAACCCACAAAGAAATAGATACTTTTAAGATAACACCAGTGTTATCTGTATCATTTCTTTGTTAGAAAAGACTAAAATATACTCACAAACACACTGCCAGACATTAAAGTAATTAAGTTTATAAATATATAAATTATGTTTACTTCTAGTTGGATTAAAGTGTTCCACTCCTCACTCATCTGAAAAAAAAAAATAGGATTTTGATGTGGTAAGGTTAAAGAGTGGAAGTTAAATATACTCTTTATTCTTAACATGTTGAAAAAGTTTTGAAATTTGGAATAATCTGTAATTTAAAATAGTCTCCTTGGTCTTGTAATCACAAAAAAATTACTGAAGTGTCTTATGCAAAAACTAAAATATATTGTAGTAGTCCCCAGCATAGTAATGAAAAGCTTGTGGTCATCTCTTTTGAAGTGATCTTTATATATAGCACCTTCATGGCTGCATTCCACTGATCATGTCACCCAGCAACAGCAGTCAAAGGAAGTGTTTTTTGGCTGTATAACCTTTTACTGTGGAACTAACAGGTTGCTGCAGGAATATGTGTTTTAGAAAAGGATGAGTTTTGTGTGGCATATAGGTTTATTATTACTATGAAAACACACTGTGACTGTATTTTTATCTTATAATTGCATTTCTTGATAAGAAGCTAAGAAATAGGGGTAATTTATGGAAGAAATTATTCTTCCACCCATTTTATCCAACTGTATTACAACCCTTTAGAGTCGTGATTCTGAATTCAGCAAGTTAGGTAGGTCTAGGTAACAGCATGCTTTGTCATGTGTTAAATAATTGCTACCTGGATAGCTATTAAAAGTCAATATCATGAAGAACATAAAAGCATGATTATTTCAAGTTTGTCCTTGAAATGTGGATCAAAGTTTATGTTCATTGTACAAATGAGTCATTGCAAGAATAGAGAGCAGTAAAGGATATCTCTACTTTATGTTAATTGTTTGTGGAGGTTAAGTAAAATTGTTATATAAAGATTTTCTGAATGGAAAATTAGTTTTTCCATCTGGGGAGAAGGAAATAAAAATAAAGAGGAGGTAAAAAAAATCCTTTTAGCATTTCAGTCAGTGAAGAAGAGATGGAAAAAGAGACCCTCTACAGAGTTTCCATAATAACACTAGTGGCCAAAATTTCTTACCAGGTCTTGGACAATTTTTGCTAACTTTTACCTTTTAAATACTTTTATTTGGATCAACACATCCTCTTCTTGTAAGTCTTGATTTGATGGGTTTTGTAGATTAGGTGGGAAAAGTTCTTTTGCAGGTCCAGAAAGTGCTTTCTGAATGTTGTCCCTTTTGTTTAACCCATGAACTCTGTCTCTGGCCCATCAATAAATACGTATAATGTCTGTGAATGTTTACTTCTTCCTGCAGTTTTTCATATCCTGCATGAAGCAGGCAAGATTCGTTTGAGTATCTTATTTTTTCAGTACCAAAACACATAAAATTTTATTGTGGTGTACTAAAACATTTGTAGAACAACATTTGTTGTTGTTGTGTTAGCTTCTTTCAGCTGTATTTTAAGGACGTGAAATAGTAAAACCTCAATTCCTCACATATGAAGGCTTCTTAGATAGAACTCTTGGCTTCTTTATCTTTTCCCTTCATATTAAAAGAAAATCTGAAAGGAGATTGTACCTGAACAAATCTAACACCATCTCCATGACAACCAGCTGATTAATCGCTATCGGTCTGGCTTTGGTCCTCTTCAGTGAACTGATACTCCCCAGCTTTTTTTAACATGTCTTCTGTGTTTTCTATGAAGGTCATTTATTTAGTGACAGTTTGACATTGTGAAAAACAGCCTTTTAATGCAAGCAACAACTTTCTTTAAAAGCAGCCTTATCTTACCTGTGGTTTCCTCTCAGTTTTACTTCTCGAACAGGGAGTTTTTAAGGTTAGGGGTTTTTTTCCCCCTTCTTGCTTTTTCTGACATTTCAGTTTTCTTTTGAGCGTAAATGTTCATTATGAGTGTCACTAGCTCAGACTTAATGACATTGCAGTACAGGTATATCCAAGCTAAGTGTTGTATCTAAGTAGTATAGGAAGTGGGAGTGGGCTAAGAGCTCATGTAGTTACTTTGCTTCTTGGGAGAGATTTTGCATGTCTGAACCTCTGTTGCTGCATGGCTGTAAGTATTTATTCATGCTTGCTTGTGTAAAGTCATCATTGCACTACCCTGCAGTCAGAGTTTCTGCAATGTTAGATGTGTTTTGAATCAATCAAGATACTTGTCATAGCTCCTACATAATTTTTTCTTTTATAAATTTGTTAAGAAGGCCTGATAATAGTGCAACTGTTGCAAGTAATTGCAAGTTTTCCCCTATGACAGAAGTAACAGCCTGTGAACTGTAAGAACATAACCTCTATAGAACATAACATCTGTAGGTGGTCAGACCAATTGCCCATGTGGCTCAATATCCTGTCATTCCTAACAGCATCTCATAGAAGATACTGGTGATAGAAAGAGTGAGATTCTGCAGGATATTTTCCCTAGAACATTTTCCCAATTTACACCTGTCCGTGGCTAAAGAGTTCAAGGTTTTCAAGCAGTAAAAAGAAGAATGAAAGCTGAGTCTAGGAAGGAAGTATTTCTCCATCCTGAAAACTTCTGTTTTTAAGTTTTCATTTTCTTTCTATTGACTATTCACTGCCTCTTAAAAATTAAATGTGTTTATACATATAATTATGTACAATTGAGTATACCCCTCACTCCTGGAGTCTCCTTTTCACTTGCACTTGTTTGGTTCCAATCTTTGTGTTTACTTGTCATGTCTCATGGATGTATTCTTTGAAGTTATTTCATGTATTTACTCTTTGGGTGCTGTATTTTTTGCAGATGGTTTGTGGGACACCTTAATTATATTACATCATTACATAGTACTTATAAGACATGGATATTGATGTTCAGGTGTAGTTATAAACTCTATTGAAGATTAAAGTAGTGCATTAAAAGGTTTGCCAGTAGATTCGTGTAGAAAAGCAATAGAAAAATCTGTTTTGACTGAATATATTACGTACTGTTGAAAGTAAGAAATGCATTAAACATGCTGTTATGGTGTTTCTAAGGTGCACATAAAACAATACAGGAAGTAAAAATGTTTAGGCAACTCCTTTATTTTCCTTCATAATTACCAAGCAAACAAAACAGATTTAGAAGGGTCAGATGCACTGGAAGAGGCTGAAAATAATTTTAGGTATTTTCCTTCACTAGCTGTTTTGCTAATTTTATTATTTTCAATCACTTTGTATAAGAAGTTACAACTGAAGGTAACAGATACAGATATTTTACATAATAAATGACTGGAGGAATTTATTAAAGCAGATGTTTAGTACTTGGGATTTGCATATAGGGAAGTGGTGACAAGAGACTTGCACCAAAACCAGTCCTGAATTGTAGATGACTTATGCTGCAGAAATGATCATGAAGATGGGAAACATTTTTTGTGGTGTTAGTTTATATTTAGTCTGAATAATTTTCATTCAGCTACTTATTTGACATAGTGATATATCTGGATTTACAATAACCTATTAATTATTTCCTCTTTTTTTTGTTTTTGTTTGTTTGTTTGTTTTGTTTTGTTTTGTTTTTTGTTGTTTTTAATTGTTTTGTTTTGTTTGTTTTGCTTGGTCATGATGTGCTACTGAACTATTACATATGAAGATTGCTGTGTTCACTGTATCCTGGCTTGCTTGTTCTGTGAATTTTTCACCCTCTGTAACATTGTTCTGGGACAAGCATCCTGTGGCATCTGCACATCGGAAGCCTGCTGCTGTTGCTGTGGGGACGAGATGGGAGATGACTGTAACTGCCCATGTGATATGGACTGTGGCATAATGGACGCATGTTGTGAATCTTCAGATTGCTTGGAGATCTGCATGGAATGCTGTGGGATCTGCTTCCCATCATGAAATATTTATCCCTTTTTATTTTATTCTCTGTAAAACTGGAGAGCTTTTCTTTAAAAACATTTAAAGAAAGACAAGATAAGATTTTCACACAACCAACTGGTATTGCACTGCTCATTCCCTTTATGGTTTTTTTAAAAGCAATCCTCAAATCTGTATTCTAACACAGGTTGTATAGTTTTGTATGTGAAACTAAAGCTACATTCCAGCTTCCTTTTGTCTTTGCAAATGGAAGACCTTGTTGAAACCAAATTATAGGCCTGGTACACAGGCTGTATGAAGGCAAAATTGCCATTTGAATTGAGTGATAGGTTTTTGGTCAGAGAACAGACTGCAGAGCAAATCCTTACCTACTTTAATATTTAAACATTCAAATGCCTTCATGCATAACATGCCTTTATGGACTTTCTGAAAATCAAAATATCTTTATTTCTATCTCTTTGGGTTGAAAGCAACTTTGCTCTATTATTTTAAACTTAATTCAAATGCCAGCATCAGAAATATGCTGTTGTTTTTGCTACAGTGGTCAAGTTAGCAATATTTCTTTTGATTTTAGTATCTCATTGGTTTGAGAGAGAGATTCCTGGTATTTTCCATTGTCAGTATTGATGCTATCTAAAAAAATGTAGTTAAGTGTAAGTTTTGCCATGGACTAGAAGAGTACCAAGATTTCTTTGTTATCAATCAAGACAGAATAGAGAGCTTATATTTTACTTCAGTACTATTATTACTTGAAATGCTTCTTTTTAGAAAGAGACTTTTGAAATCTGTGTAGGCATGAAATATATCCTTAGAGTAACAAACTAATAGACTAACAAATCTCCAAAATTTGGTTATAAGGGGGAAATTATTAGAAGTTAACTCAAGAATCTAACCTGTGCTTTAAGTAGCACAGTCAGTGTTTGCGGCCTTAGAGCCAGTGTCACAAAAGTTAGTATTTATTTCTTCACTGTGTGAGAAAGATCCACAGAGGGTAGCAGAATTTACCCCAAATATAAAGACCAAATTAAAACTCACTTGACCAAGGAATTCTGTCATTGAATGCAAAAAGCAAGTGAAAAAATGTTTATAAAAAGGGTTATCACATTCTGAGATTTAGGTAATCAAGATACCCATTTTCTTTACCACCTGCTAGTTTCTTCCCTCCATGTCTGAACTTTTCTTTGTAAACCACCTATACGTCTTGATCTCACATACTTAAACTTTCCTATCCATACTTCAGAATTTCCATTTGTAGATTGCTGGATCTCATAAATTTAGGCCTTGTTATAAGAATCATCAATAGCCAATAGTATATATGTGTTGAGTGAATTGACCATAAATGTCTCTTTATTCTTTAGTGAATTCAGTTTATGCAAATGTGACAAGCTAAAGATCACAGGAGTGTGAAGCTAAGTCAACAAATTGTCTAATATTAACCAAAGCTTCTTCTTGTGAACACTGACTAGTAGTGCCTACTACTGCAACTTATCACTGAAGGTAACATAACCGAATCCTCAGCTATACTGGGGAGCTGGGAAGTGTTACATTTTGCCTTAACATATGCAATATTGTGGTGTACTCTGATACCATGTGGATTCACCCATGTGGATTCATGCAGAGGGTGTCCTAGTCTGGTTTTTGATTTTGATTTTTTTTTCCATGTTTTGGGCCAAATTCTGATCTATGTGGTATCAACTAAGTGCATTTCCGTTCATGTCACAATTTTCCATTGGTTTAGCTCCAGTTAGAGAGCAAAAAAATATTATGATAATAGGCAGGCTAATAAGGAATCACATAGCTTAACTGATAAATTCCCAGCGCTCAGAATCTGGCCCATGGGGCTCAATTATGACTCCTAAAAGTCTGAGCCACACTGGGAAGGGGAAAGAGGTGCCTTGGTTGAGTGGCATTGCCTGGAGCCATTTTACCTTTGTAAGGCATAATGCCTCTGGGGAAATTGGGGGCATCACAGTAAGCACTGGGACTCAATGCACCTTGGGAAAAGTCAAGACAGTGCTTTGTCCATTGTAGGTCTGTAGTTGACACCATCGTGGTGGGACATGTTCTCCGGGGCTAGGCAGCACCATGAACTGTCTTCCCTCATGTCCTTCTGGTGGCAGAGAGGTGAATTATGGGTGTTTCTTGGCTAAATGTGCCTTTGGGGACAGAGAAGTGGTCTTCCAATCTCTTGTCCTACCCCAATATCCATGCCTGCTGGAGCAGTTCCAGTTTTGTGCTTGGAAAACTGCACATTTGTATGTCATGCTTTTAAAATACTAGATCTTACTAAACATTACTTTTACCACAGGATGATATGATTTAAAAAAATAAAAAAAGAAAATACCAATCTAGGGAGTCCTTTTCCTGTGTAAAAGTTACCTATACAGTTTGGCCTGTACAAACCCTTGTCTCTACTTACAGGAACTCAGAAGGGTTTTTGATTTGTTGAAATTATAAAAATCTGGAAAATGTATTTTTTATTAAGCATTTACTTCCAATACTGTTAAAATACAAATAATAATTACAAAAACTTTGTTCATGCATATATGCATATGTGTTCATACTCTTTGTCACACACATGTATAAATCACACATGCAGACATGTCTTTTCCCACTTCATTTGTGAAATACTAGGAAGTGAAAGTAGTGTTATTAAACCTCGTAGTGATTAGAAGTATCAAAGTATTACAGACAATTGAAAAAAAAATTGTGTGTTTTGTTTGACATTTAAAAGCAATCTGCTACTGTTTGTCATAGAGATATTAGCACTTTTGAAAATGTATCTTTGTAGCAGAGAATATTAGCATGTAGTTTAAGGAATTCCTTTCTATATTTATATTCTTAAATTCTGTTTTGTAGTTTTCACTCTATAAACAATCTTGTAAGCACCTTGTGTAATTAAAACAAGTAGAATTAGGAGTCAAATGTGAAAATAGAGTTTAAATAAAATTAAAACATCAGAACTTAACTGTCTATTTTATAATAGTTCTTGTGAACTTGTACAGTGTTTCAGTATATAGTTCTGCAAACTGGCCCATTTGAAAAACTCGCTGTTTGTATTTTATATCAACTGGATGTGCTATTTGCAAACACTATTTTGAAATAAAGATCTTTATTTTGAAACTTTGGGATATCTTTTTCTTCAAATCTTACATTGTTACTCCTCTGAATGTTAATTTCATATAACTTCATGTCTATTTGTGATTTTTCTTCCTCAAGGTGTTATGTTGGTCTTCGAGTGATTCCTACAGAGGGTGAACCAGTGTACAGGAGTTGTCTTACAGGTGGAGCTAAGCCAACTCAGGTACTTAAAACAAGCTGAACCAAGAGTGTAGTTGGTTCACAGTATTGCAGAAGACATACTAAGATCTAATTGTCTGTGTGGCCTGGGAAACAAAGGCTTGTACACAGTACCACTATTTTAAATTAAGGTATATGGGCCATTAGAGGGTCTAAAAAAATTGCTTCTCTGGGCATTGCAGACGAAATTATTCTGGAGTGTGCATCATGAAGTCTTGCCATTGAGACTATTCGTGAAAATAATTGTTTTAGTAAGAGAACTAATAAAAACATAGACAAGCAGCACCATTTGAGAATTATTACAGATGTTCTAGCCAGGAGCTATAAAACATAATATTTCTAGAAAAAAATGGCTGCTGTGAAGAAGGATCAGGATCACTCAGGAGCTTTTTGATTGCCTGATTACTCAATTTCAGCCATAGTACTCAGGTTAAGAACTGTTTGTTGACTTCGATGAAGCATTGTGTTTATAATATTCTAAATGATAAAGTTTTCTGAGCTCTTCACATATTTAGTTTTTTTAATATTGTCTTAGTGGTTGCAATATTTTATCTATGTTCTTGGAGAGCAATGCCAATTGCATTGATGCATCTCCATGATAAATCTCCTATTGTCTGCTCACTTGTAACTTTCTGGAAGGCAACATATATATCATCAAATGAACCATGTATCTGAAATCTTACTCTTGGCCCCAAAATTAAGCTAAACCTTAGAGAAATATCTCCCTGGTGTCTTTTCCCTGTTCTTCTCTTTATTTGAGTGCATACACCATGTGTTGGAAGACTCCATATAGTGTTGATGGTGACACTAGTAGCTCTAGAATCCTACAAGCATTAATCATACTTTTCCCCTTACCTTCTAACCCTTCTGCCAGTTCCTGGCACTTCCAAAGAGAGCAGGGGGACCTTAACTCAATTTCAGCATCAGGATATTGTAAGAAGTTCAGTAAAAACAATACTGTGCACTCACTTCTGTGATGCACTGGTTGAGTGTGCTCAGTATGCTTGAATGTGAAGCTGATTGCTTGTACAAAGCATTTGCTTATGCTATTTACCCATGATTTCATGCTAGTGGCATAAAAGGATCATTCTTCTTTAGAAATCTTTTACTATAGTTGGAAAGAGAGAACTTTCTCTGAATCATCATTCTGCAAGAGTTTAATTAGGTCATCTTAATCTCTATATGGTTTTTAATGATAGGTTCATAGAATGGCTTGGGTTTGGAAGGGATCTTAGGCATCATCTTCCCTCCTGCTGTGGGTGGGGACACCTTTCACCTGCCAGGCTGCTCAGAGTCCCATCTCCAACCTGGCATTGAACAATTCCAGGGATGGAACACTCACAGCTTCTCTGGACAGCCTGTTCCAGTGCACTGCATACAATTCTTTTTGCTTCTTTTATGTATGCATGTTATAGCAATTGTTAGTACATTGCCATGCAGTATTCATAAAAATGGGATGTTAGATGAAAGATTGTGTAGTACCTTTATATCTTTAATACTATCTTACTAATTTTTATTCTGATATGCATGTGCTATTTTAACTGACAAAATACTCCACCATAATTGAGGCTCTTCATATCATCTCAGTAGGGTATATGATTGGTGCCCAAGCACTACACAATCCCTCTTCAATCAGTGGTGTAGGATTCAGCAATCCAATTTGTCTCATCTCCAAGTTGCGTGAAGTGACCACATTGTAAATAGGCTGTACTCTGACTTGTATGTGTTTCACGTTACAATCTGCTTTTTTTGTCACCAAATCCACAGTGCCTGCCTTAGTTTCTTTAGTTTTATCACAAGATGGTATATTTGGCATTGTTTTTCTTTTAAATCTTTTTGTTTAAAGAGAACAGAAAGGGCCTTCATTATGGAGGTCTAGGACAATACCACGATACATGTCATGTTATAAGTTATTTCTTTATCTTTTCTATATTCACTGCTATATGCAACTTCTAGTCAAACACTAGAAGTTGTAAAAATTGTAAAAATTATGTCTTTGGAACTCTGGACTTCATCTAAGTAACTGTAGCTCAATAGTGGTTTATGTTTGAATATATGAAAATCAAAATGCATTGATTCTGTCTTGCTCAAATAAAGAACCAAAAGTTCTATTGAGATGGATTTTGCAGAGTCTTGCAGACTGGCAATATTCAAAATAGTTCTGCTCACAAGAATAAGACTAGTACATTAGTTTAAAATTGATATATTTTACGGTAACATCTATGTATATATGCTACTTTTTACATTCTGTGCTACTTTCAGTTACTGAAGACTAATAAGAAAAAACAGGGAAAAATAAATGTATTAAAAAACATGGGTTTGCTTTCCTTCCTAGGAAATGCAGCTCCATTTGTCTGTTTCTTCATGTGATGAGGAGACACCTTGATTACTTATTTAATGTAGACTAACAGCAGTGATTTAGAATCCACAGCAACTTCAAGGTCATTAGAAGTAGTGTGTGAAGGATAAAGGGAAATGCGGTGCAAGGATCGTGCTACTACTGACAACTGCTCTATCTGTATAAGTAATCTGCTTTACAACTACCTAGCTTTCATGGGGTTAAGTTTAAGAAAATTAAGGTACCCATGACTGAAATTTTATATTCAATCTTGTTTCTTCAGAAAGAATAATTAGACATATTTACACAATTACATTTTTAGTAAACTATTATGTCAGCTTAACTGTAACACATATTCTGGTTAAAGTACATTAAGCAGCAATTCAGAAGTAATTTAGCTGCTGAAGGCATTATTTTCTATCTAATTATTCACAAATTAATGAATAAAATTAAATTCCAATCACTGAAAAAATGAAGCAATGGTGAGAATCAGAACTACAGATTAGTTAAAGGTATGCAATGCATAACAGAATTAAAGCCTTCTTTTATTCAAATTCAATGCTTAAAAAAGAACAAATCCATCATCTTGAAATTTGACTTGTAGCTTGACATTAAAAATAATATGAGTAGAATTTTCAGTGGGGTAAGCACAAAACTAGTTCAAGTAGTGTCACTCTCAATTAATGTACTCAGGTGGTGTGCCCATTAAAATTCCCACTTGTGGGTTCAGCTCTCTATGCAAATGGGGTCATTACCTGGAGAATTTAATTGGGTATGACACTGGGAGTAGGAATTTTCCTTTCAAAATAAACCTTCTTGCATACATTTTCACTAGAAATTTGATTGTTACATATACTTCATATTGTTTGGTTCTATAAATATTTACCAAATTGAGAATGTCCTCACTTATTTAGTTTTTTACAGGTGATTCATAATGCATCAAAATGATTTTTAAATTGTTCCATGTATTGCATATGCAAGTCTTGTAACAAAAACCTG